CATGCTTCCATATGTTGAGGCTGTTCCATCTGGAAAAAGTAAGAATCGGGTATATGGCCTCCTGAGGTGGTTTGAATGATCACTTTGCTATCAAATGCGACTTGCAAGGGCTTTTACACTTGTTTTTTCATTATCGGTTAGCTAGCTGATCAGAAAAAACTCATGCAGTGTAAATACCTTCTTGGCTCAATTCAGTAAAGAAGGGAATGACAATGACAATCACTGTGAAGTGACTTTCGTTGTCAGCCTCAGTGATGAATTTCTCAAAGGGAAACTGTTCTGCCATCAAGCATTCACAGTAATGAGGTAAATGTGTGGGTAACTGTGAGATCTCATTAACTTCTTTTGTGAGATTCTTCATCATTAGCAGGTAACAGTTCTGGTGTCTCAGTGGACCACATTTGTCAGTTTAAGCAACATGTTGCAACTACACCACACAAAGCGAGACTATTTAACATGATTCTTATGAAGTTTTGACAGCTCATAACCATCTTGTGCACGGCTTGGGAGAGAGACCGAATGTATAATTATGATGGTCGGGTTTTGATGAGCGTCTTTGTTCCCTCAGGTCACAAACTGCCATCAAAGTCAGGTGCTCAAATGGCTACACATCAGTGAGATCTCAGTTCACACCTACAAAATCCATATGATGTCATTTACGAGGATAGTAAATGTCAGCCTGGCACTAAATTACTGTCATATACATCTGTGACGTACAGGTGAATTCCAATGAGCTAAACACACGTCTGGCACCTACCTTCTCATACTTGTAATAGACATCTGGCTTACTGGGTTCACTGAATATTGAGCTGAAATCAGATCAGTCAGGTGGAAAGCAATATGGCTTCTGCAAATTGATTTGGTGCTTAATTAATCATAAGAGCTAATGGAGCCATAACTCTGTCAGGACACAAATATCATAAATTAAAGTCATATCTTTACATGTAGTAGCTGGTAAATGCATTTTATTGACTGTTTCCTACGCAACACCCCATGACTAATAGCTAAAGCCAGTCATGTGATGGGTTCATTTATTATTAAGAAATATAATTAACCTTTATTTTACTAGTATTGTCGTTTTAATGTTAATTTTATTAATTATAATTAATTAATTATAGTTAATTTATTAATAATAATTAATAAAAACATTAATAACTTAAAAGGACACCGCTGTTACAAAAATTAAGATTTTAGTAGGCAATCGAGGTACGTTAAACACGTTTTAAAGATGGTAAAATGAAAGTAGGCACATGCAGTAGTTTAAAAATCAAATACAGATTTTTTTTGGAAACAGATTTTAAAGGGTTAGTTCACCCAAAAATGAAAATTAGCCCATGTTTTACTCATCCCCAAAGCATCCTAGGTGTATATGACTTTCTTCTTTCAGACAAATCCAATCGGAGTCATATAAAAAATGATCCTGGCTCTTCCAAGCGTTAGAATGGGAGTAGGCAGGTGTTTTTGTTCAACAGTCCAAAAGTAGTCAAATAAAGCGCACGCATCTGTAATAAAACGTGCCTCGGCTCCGGGAGGTGAATAAAGGCCCCCTGTAGTGAATCGATGCGTTTTTGTAAGAAAAATATCCATATTTAAAATGTTATAAACATTTTTATCTCACTTCTGCTTACTGTCATATACGTGCAAGCCGTTCCAGGTGGATGATGTAGGACGTATGCGTCACGCGCGCCTGTGAGATATGCTAGTCTCGCGAGAACCAGTCTCCTCTTGGCTTATATCAAAATCCTCCTACATTTTTCTTTACAAATCCTTGTTTTGTGCTTCTAATTCGTGACCGGCATTTGTTTTGCTGTCTCTCCTCCGCGCTTCCGGGTTCATTACTAATCACCGCCGCGTGCGCGACGTGTACGTCCTAGTTCATCCGCCACAACGACTTGCACGTATGACAGTCAGCAGAAGTAAGAAAAAGTATTTATAATACACTTTATAATACACAAATATTTTTCTTACAAAAACACATTGATTCACTACAAGAGGCCTTTATTCACCCTTCGGAGCCGTGTGAGGCACGTTTTATTATGGATGCGCGCACTTTATTTGACTACTTTTGGACTGTTGAACAAAAACACTTGCCTACTCCCATTCTAACGCTTGGAATAGCAAGAATAATTTTTAATATAACTCTGATTGGATTCGTCTGAAAGAAGAAAGTCATATACACCTAGGATGCTTTGAGGGGGAGTTAAAGATGGGCTAATTTTCATTTTTGGGTGAACTAACCCTTTAAGTACAACCACATTACTTGTGTTTATTCTGCTAAACCCTACATAAACCTGAAATTTTGGACCTTTTTCTGTGTGTTGGTGCTTTTAAAGGGATAGTTCACCAAAAAATGAAAATTCTGTAATTAATTACTCACTGTCCTGTCGCTCCAAACATCTTCAGAACACAAATTAAGATATTTTTGATGAAATCCGAGAGCTTTCTGACCCTGCATAAACAGCAACGCAACTACCACGTTTAAGGCCCAGAAATGTAGCAAGGACATTGTTAAAATAGTCCATGTGACATCAGTGGTTCAACCATAACTTTATGAAGCTACGAGAACACTTTTTGTGACCCAGAAGAGAAGAAATTGTAGAGTAAAGTCATTATTTTTGTTTTCATTGTGCACAAAAAGTATTCTCATAGCTTCATAAAAGTACGGTTGAACCACTGATGTCACATGGACTATTTTAACGATGTCCTTACTACCTTTCTGGGCCTTGAACATATGTGTTGCTGTCTATGCAGGGTCAGAAAGCTCTCTGATTTAATCAAAAATATCTTAATTTGTGTTCCAAAGATGAACGAAGGTTTGGAATGACATGAGGGTGAGTAATTAATGACAGAATTTTCATTTTTGGGTGAACTATCCCTTTAAGACTACCAATGAGAACAGCTTCACAAATGTGTTTGTGAGTAAACTAATTCTGTAATATGGGGAAAAACGTCAAGTAGGTTATACCGACATATGGTCGCAAATACTTTAATAATCTCAAGATGCAAAAGAGTTTTACTTTCTGAGTGTTTCTTTTTTTTCTGTACGCCCATGGTCCATTGGGAAGCTAAATGATCCGTCTGTCTAACAGGCTTTATGCAGACCTGGTTTGAACAAACAGTTAGAACAGAGATCAGAGGATTGTCTAGACTGCTCAAATTGTGCTCTCTCTAATGTTTGATTGAGAGATTTCAGCTCAAATGCAAGTTCTGGCTCAACAGTGTACTCTTTGATAGGAGAAATACCTCCCACTCTAGAAGAAGTTGTAAGTAGCCCACCAGGTAGCTAAATATGTAATCACTAGACAGGTAATCATTGGACATACACTTGCTGCCCAGATCTTTAACCACTAGGCTGTATCACAGCATACATATCAAAGATTACGGTCTTTCAGTCTGGTTATTTCATGTGCAAGAGGCGCTTTCCATGAATTCTGCATGACTGCTTACGGCTACATCACTTTACACAAGGGAAGAAGAAGAGATGGGCTCCCTCAATTTGCATTTTTCATCAGGGTCAGAACCGCTTTAACATGCAGCGAATCTCTGATGTTGCTTTTAGTTTATAATAAAATGCATGAAACAGCAGTGAAGATATTGAATACTAAAACATCATTACAGCCATATTAGCCAATGCCACCAGAGACACACTGCTGACGAGAAATAACACTGCAGGATGGAAATTATAATAATGGATCAAGAAGAGCTGCTGACAGTGTACCCTTTCCTCTGTCTGATCCTGAAGGTCGTTGCTGCAGATGAAACCAGCATGGCGTGGTTTAATTCTAGGCTGCAACACAGGTCAGATTGAGCAGAGGACTATTTGGTTCTTGTGGTCTTGTCTCGATGGCCAACGAGGTCTTCGGAGGGGATCTGTCTCTGGAGCTCATCTAGCTGACATTCAGGGCTGTAGAGGTCATCTCTAAGTGCTGATCCACCATCTGGTCTGGATACATACTGGATCTGGGTGGCTATGGTGACCTCGGAATAAGAAAGAAACAGATTAATATTAGCGTAGATGCCACTGAGAACAATAAAGCACATTAGTAAAAACTCTAAACATTTAGACATATTACCTGGAATGAAAACAATAAACTCCTAGTCTTGAAAGTACACACAGTATGTAGTTCCAGTGGAGTGGTCTGGTCATGTGCCAGTGTTTGGTGCCTTGGAAGAACTGACTGGGTTGCATCTGAAATCTTGCAATGATGACAAAGCACCAATGAAACCTTTGGCCACTCCATTCCACAATCCATTGCACAACAGGGAGCATTGATGCTGACTGGATTTGTATTAGAACATGTACATTTCATATTATAGGGCTACCTTAAATAGCATAAAAATAATATCAAAATATAACGGTCCTGCCTGTTGTTGATAAATACCAATGGTGACGTTTTACAAATTGATTAATCAATTGTCCCAGTGTTTACTAAGCCACGGTCTTCCCCAGTGCAGGAACTCGTGTGCACGATCTACTGATTCACTACCTAGGGAACTGACTGAGACGCTTTGAACGGCCTTGTGAAACGATTCAGTTGTTCATTTTTGTTCGGAACGACGAACTCCTCTTCCGAAGCGAAGTGGCTTCACGAGACTAAAAATGCCGTTTGAAATTCGACCCGTTTGAAAAGAGCGACATTTCACCGTAGCTGGTTGTTAGTCACGTTTAATGTCTTTTTACTTCACGGGACAATTGCAAAAGTTTACGTTACACACGCAAAAACCCATTCAACACGGCAATGTTAACTTCAAATGAGCGCATTACTGTGGTTTACATTAGTTACACGTTTCATAGATTTCGGTTAAGAGAAAAACCGCGCTATCTCTTCATATCTTTCCACGTCACGGAAACACAAAAATATAATACAACACGCCAAAATGAGCTAAAATTCATTATCGTAACACAGCTTTTGACATTAAGTGTTTTATGGACTAAACAAGGTTTGTGAGAGAATCGTTCAGTTTTGTGCACTGCGAAATTACTTTGACTTTGATGAGGGACTTTGAGAGAGCTCGCGGCAGCCAGGCGGAGTCTTGCGTCGTCTTGGGAAACGCAGCATATTGTCAGACCAGCCCCTGGGCGGAGGATCTGGAGATTGGTGCCTCTGCTTGCTCTTTCCCACTCGGTTTTAACACGCTCGGTTTAGTTCCGGGCAGAGACAGACACTTACAGCACGTAAGTGGACTCTAGACGGCGGAGTTAAAGACTTCAGAGACGCGCAACCCAGGAACGGATAGAAGCGAACAGACCGTATACGCTGCGTTTTCTCGTCATATATGTTCTCTAGTTTTTGAAAACCAAGTGGAATCGGACACAGTGAACGACACAGATATGTAAGATCTCTATCGCATGCTTCAATCAGTTTCTGACTCACTTTTGGACTTGCCACATGACAGTGCGCCATACATGTTTCCTTTTGTTTACATTCCATATGATTATGTATAGATGACTGACAATGTGTCCGTTAACTTTTCCATTTGACCAACATCAAGATATTAGATAAAAATGTTTATAAATCCATGTGGGAAAAAGTGTAAGATGTGCATTACCAATTTGTCTTCATTTACCTCCGTTTTTTGAGGTCTTGTCACGCAGCATGTAAATGCATAATGCATGCAGTAGTTTAACTCTGTTCATTTCAAGGATTGGTATATGATATTGAAAACAAGCCAGATATAGAAATCTTTATAAAATGATAATATAGAAAACTAGCCAAATATAGAAATCTTTATAATATAATTTTTGAAATCAGTAGTAACCTGGAAAAGTCATGGAAAATCTGTTGTTGATCAAAATATGTTGGAACTATGTATAATATCCTCAAAGCTAAGTGACAAACAGGTGACATGTACTATGCATTTTATGTAAACAGTAGTTTATATTTTTGCTTTTTTTAGTATGTATACTAAAAATTGACAGTCCATTTTTTGTCAAATTATTCATCATTAACTTGGGACATTTTGTAATTATTGCCCTATACACAAGTTTTCTCTCTCTTTCTCTCTCTCGCTCTCTCAATGTTCACCTTTGTTCCTTCAAATGGAAAATTACATGAGAAAGTGAAGACCTTTCAGTTTATGCAATTTGAAGAGCTTGTCACTTCAGATTTATGGCTGGAAACAGATGTCCCACGGTTTTACTAACGCTCCCACACTTTTTACTATTTCCTCAGGTGTAACCGAGCAGGAAGATGCTGGGAAGATCTAGGCCGGTGGGCTTAGGAGCTCTGCATGCGCGCTCAACCTGAAATCAGTCCCTTTTGCATCTATATGAAAGTTTGAGCTGAGCGTGATGGCATCTAGTCTTACATGTGCAGGTGTGGTATGGGCCCTGTTGTCCTTCCTTTGTGCAGCCACATCTTGCATAGGCTTCTTCATGCCATACTGGCTGCTTGGGTCGCAGATGGGTAAGCCGGTGTCGTTTGGAACGTTCCGCCGCTGTTCCTATCCCGTAAGGGATGAGGCCCGTGGTGGGACGGTTATGTTGGAGCAGTGTGGGCGCTATGCCTCCTTTCAGGGCATCCCGAGTCTGGAGTGGAGGATCTGCACGGTGGTGACGGGGACAGGCTGCGGACTGCTTCTCCTGGTGGCTCTCACGGCAATCATGGGATGCTGTGTTACGGATCTAATCTCTCGGACCATCGGAAGAGTGGCAGGAGGGATACAGTTTGTGGGAGGTGAGTTCAATTACAAGGAGCTTGACTGGAGATTTAGTGGATGGGTAAATGGTGAAATGGTTGGATGAATGGATGTATAGATGGCAGAATGAGTGGATAGATGGACTGAGAGATGAAGAGTGTGCCAGCTAGATGAATGATTGAATGGGCAACTGTTATAGTTTTAAGTAGTGATATATTGATACTGGCCATGCTGATAACTCTGCTGATAAAAATTTTGAGTTTTGAGCATTATCATCCTATAATAAAATTAATTAAAATAAAATAAATACATTGTTATAAAATAATCTAATATTGGCTTGTATAGTATATAATATAAATAATTGTATTAAATTTTTTATAGGAATAACCTAATATAGGCTTTATATTGGCCACACCACTTTCTACAGTAGTTAGTTGGTATTGGCATTGGTCAGCTACTAATTTTCGGTGCATTTATTGGTTGGATGAACAGGTGGGTTGTCAGAAGGATAGATGAATGTGCTTGTAAATGCATAGTCAAATGAAACACTACAACTTCTCAAACACACTTTCGTTTGCGTCTTTCCCAGACGCAAGTACTTAGCAGCTCCTAAGCGGGAACACATGATGACAACCGCATCCTCTTAGTGAAACCTGGTGTGCTTGTTTTGACATTCTGTTGCTACGATTCATGTCATCCTGTGAGGATAGGAGCCTGTTGATTTGGGCAAACACACCAAACTTACACCCTGGTGAAAATCAGTTCGAGTTTGCTTGGTAACTAAACAAATAGTGAAAAGCAAACAAGAGTTTCCTTTCATGTCCTTAGTACTGGTCAGATGGGATTGGTTTTTCAACCGATGATTGAGCTACAGTTGTTAACACAGAACATCTATGATTTCATGTACTGATTTTGGATGGGAAGTGGGCGTATTATGGAAAATTTGGTAAAATTATAAACTAAAACTAATTTAATTCAAAGGATAGTTCACTCCAAAATGAAACTTATCATCATTTACTCACTCTCATGTCGCTCTGACATTATTTCAACAAAACATTGGAGCCCATTGACCTTGACATGAGGGTGAGTATTCTGGGATGGATGCCAGATGCCACATTGGTGTATCACTTCTTCAGTTTGCCCTTTTCAGGTGGGAATATTACTTGTTAGTAGGTCAGACTTGGGAAGTATGTTGTTGTCTGTGCGTTCTGAATGAACGTTATGGTTCCTGCATCCTATTGGATTTCCTCTCACACCCACGTCTTGCTTCACAGCACCCGTTGCATGTTTGCATACGTCACGCACGCTCTCCTGAAAGACAGTTGGCTCAGTCATGTGTTTCATACAGTGAATTTACCGTAGGATTTATGGGATCCGTCTGGCTACTGTCAGAATCCCGGCCAATGAGAACCCAAGACCTTGAAATGAGTCTTTTTCGCTTGAGAGATCTGCCGATATGACTCACTGGGATCTGGGTGTTTTCTCAATTACTCTTTAATGTCTTCTTAACACATTAGAGAAATACTGAGGACATCCTTTCAGAACAACCTCAGCTCCTGGGAGATATTTCTCACTTTGCTGTAATGACATTGCCTGATGAGTTTGTTACAGTTTGCGAATGCAAAAATCAACTGTTTGGATTTCTCCCAAGCTTTCCGTCCCTTATGTATTGCCTTATGCCCCTATCAAAAGTCTGTTCTCTGATACTCTTTCTTATCTTACTCCTTTTTCTCTTTACTTTTGAGTATTTGCTGCCCTGTATGAATTTCGCAGTAGAAGATGAAAAAGAATGCATTCATTGAACCATAACTATGCCCACTAGAGTCTTTTTTTTTGCATTTTCTGCAGTGGTTGCAGGCAAGAATCTAGTTATTCTGTGGAAAGGATTTCTATGATAAAAAGAGATGAAATACTACACTTTTACACCATTAGTGTAAAAAATGACAGCAAAGATATTTATAATGTTACAAAAGATTTCTGTTTCAAATAAATGCTAAAAACGTTCTATTCATCAAAGAAACCTGAAAACAAGTATCATAGTTTCCACACAAATATTAAGCAGCACAACTATTTTCAACATTTATTATAAAAAGAAATGTTTCTTGAGCACCAAATCAGAATATTAGATTATATTAAATTAATGATTTCTGAAGAATCATGTGACATTGAAGACTTGAGTAATGACACTGAAAATTCAAGTTTGCCATCACAAAACCAAATTACATTTTAAGTTGTATTAAACTAGAAAACTGTTCTTTTAAATTGTAATAATATTTCACAGTGTTATTGTTTTGTATTGTATTTTTTGTCAAATAATTTCAGTCTTGGTGAGCATAAGACATTTCAAAAACATTAAACAAATCTGACAGATCCCAAAAGTTTTTTGTATTCACATCTATATGTATATACTCACTTGTGAATTCCTTGTCTTCAGTTGTTCAAGTGACAGAAATAAGGCCAGTTCATGTTGAGTCAGTGCTCAGAATATCACAATTGTTCTGTGTTTTTGTAGGCCCTTCATTCCAGAGATCACGTTGTCATAATTACAGTGGGGAAATCTTATACAACCTTACCCTGAGGAAAACACAAATAAGTAAGGTGGCAACAACTGTGTGTATGCGAGTGCTTGAGTAAGCTTTGAGAGTATCTCATCATTACGAGATGTTGTCATCATTATGGTGAGCATAAGACATTTCAAAAACATTAAATAAATCTGACAGATCCCAAAAGTTTTTTGTATTCACATCTATATGTATATACTCACTTGTGAATTCCTTGTCTTCAGTTGTTCAAGTGACAGAAATAAGGCCAGTTCATGTTCAGTCAGTGCTCAGAATATCACAATTGTTCTGTGTTTTTGTAGGCCCTTCATTCCAGAGATCACGTTGTCATACTTACAGTGGGGAAATCTTATACAACCTTACCCTGAGGAAAACACAAATAAGTAAGGTGGCAACAACTGTGTGTATGCGAGTGCTTGAGTAAGCTTTGAGACGTGACGGTTCAGTAATCTATCCAGCAGCAGCTGTCTTACTGTAAGCCTTCACTTCTTGAGCTGTAAACTTTAGACGAATACCAACAGAGGGTCAATGCAGCTTGGAACAAATATGTATGTTGTCTGTCAAAGTTTGAATTCAGAAACTGCAAGAATTTGGCACTTTACTTGTTTCTTTAAGTCCTTAGGCCACCTATGTGTCACAATAATGATTAACTTTTCCAAAGTTGTCCTTGACTTTGTGTCTGGTTATAGTGGACTGCACAACGTGCAAAATTGTTGAGCTGTGAAAGTTTACCTCCTGCTTTCCCTCTGTTAGCTCGGATGTCAAATACGTCACGTTTGCATGCTGTGTAAATCACTCTCGTTTAAATCTAAATTGACAATATTGAATTAGTCACGCTGGAAAGTTTCTAATTGCAGAAACGGACGGGTGTTGAGAACTGCTGATTTGTGTACATTTGTGTGGTGAACGGAACCGTGTGTGCGCTTGAGCAACGTGTATTTGTGGTCGTGTGGGAACAGACCTAGCTGAGGGTGTATACGCTGGTTTTAGCTGACCCGTGCCGACCCCTGGGCGCTTGGAAAGAGTCGGATGGAGAGATGAGAGGGCGTAGGATGGTGTGAATGAGAAAGACAGGCAGGATCCAGCTGATGGAGACAGCTGCAGCAGCAGGAAGAGACTTACTGGCTCCAGTACTGGTGCACATCTCTCACTATGTCTCACTCGCAGTTTTTTTTTTACTGTCCGCCTGTCTGTCTGAAAAATTCTGTTGACTCCTTGGAATGCTTGGAATGTTGCTGGAAAATAGGAGAAAAAGAGTATGAGAGTGACACACAGTGAACTGAATAGGCCAGAGGTGAAGAAAATCTGTTCCTGTCCTTCACAGAAATCAATGACAGTGTCTATCAGATAATGTCTTGTAAATTCGACACCATTGGGTGTAGCCCATTATGATGGAATTTCAATCCACATTTTATCCTTCCTAAATGATATGCAAGATTAGAAATCTCACAGGGCCAGCTATATTACAGCACAAAACCAAAATGAAATTTTATTTTACATAAAGGCAATAAAGCCATTACAATTTATTTTGCATTGCGATGTTATTTTCATGACTATGAAGCATATGTAACCCCAAATTTTCTTTGCTGTAATGTATTTGGTATGTAATTTAAATGATCTATCTCTTAGTTTATGTAACAAATTTATCAAAGGATTGTATCATTTATTCATTTAAACGATGTCTCTGTATTTCTGTAATTCTATAATTGTGATAAAAAAGCACAATATTATTTTACAAATAATCATAAACTACAGGTAGAAAAAGAAAAACTACAATAATGTGAAACTCTACAATTTAGATTGATTTTAAATTAAAATATAAATTACACATTATTATAAACTGAGGGTTAGTATTTTTATATTGCAGTAATGAGAATTGAGGGGAAATGTACATAATTGTCATGAAAATAATCTCAATGATCCAAAAAAATGTAAATCATTAATTTTTAATGTGAAAAATATATTTTACAATTTTGTTTTACTTTGAATTGAAATTACTTTTTGACAGATTTTGTTTATACAAGTGCATCCAAAATTATAATATGTTATAGTAAATTAAATTCCAGAATATGCTTGAATGATGTACTAGTGTGCATCCATGCATGTTAAAATTGTCCACAACCTATGTTATGAAAGAGGAGATGTTATGATTATTACCTTTCAACCAAGAAAATGGCATAATGAAAGAATGAAAGACAGAAACTCCCACAACAGTTTTTTTTTAAATGCATTAAATTAAACATTAAGCTAAATGTGTTTTAAAGTAATGAACAAATTGATATCAAGGTGCAGTTTCATGACATGAAATGTCTCAATACTGGTATGTGTTTTCTCATCACAGAGTGCAGATTTTTAATACATAGTGCAGCCATAGGGATATTTTACACTTTGGGAAATAAAAATGGGTCATTAAACAAGATGTGCAATAACAGTTCTCGCTTTAGGAGCCATTTAGGAGACTTGCCATTCTCTATTCT